TATCTGTTTAAAATGAACTGAACATCGCCCGCAACACATTTGTGTAGTACTATTGCCTATATACTACGCCGTCGTGGTATTTTTCTAAAACAAATTAAAATTAATGTTGAATTACGGTGTAACTGGTAAGTAAAAATTGTACTCAGCTTTAAAAAATTCTTTTAAGCTTCAAGTGAGGTGTGGAACCACCTGTTTTACAGTGATTTTTAGGTTTTCCGTCATTAAGCTTTTGGATGGTAAATCTTTATCAAAAGTCCCAATGGTATTTCACGAGGTCAAAAATCCAATTAATAAACTTTTGAATAATTATTTTCGATTTTTTTCGTATTAATGAAAAATTGAAAAAAAAATCGATGAAAAAATATTTGTTTTTATTAATTTTGTTAAAATAAATAATTGTATGTGTTTTAGATGAATAATATGTGTTTAAAATAATAATTAAAAAATTTAATCTACCATAATAACACACAAGTATCAATATTTTATCAAAAAAAAAAAAAAAATTAAATATAAATTAATTTAATTTAAAACCGAATAAAAATTATATTAAAAATTACTCTATAATTTATTGTATAAACATATAAAATAAAACCAATATGTTTTCAGATAAATAGTAAAAATAATTTATAATGTCTAGAAATACTGCAGATTATTATTTCGTTTTCACATAAAATTTCAAAATATCGTAATATTCATAACATTATATGTATTTTTAATTTTTTTATATATTGATGTTATTTGAAACCAGAATCGATGTGGATTTGTCGTTCATCAATGATACAAATAACTGGAGAGTTTAAAATATACTTATTATCAGTTTTACCTAACGTACGTTTGATTCAAAAGCCATATAATAAATAACACATAGGAACAGTTCATCAAAAGATACATCAACATGTATAGGTATATTAAAATCTATTTCACTCAAATAAGCAAATCGATATTAAAATAATCAATTAAGATATTTAATCAGTTTGGGATTCTACACACGAGAGCGCGTAAAATAGTTATTAAATTATTACAAAAATCGTGCATTGAGTTTTGTCGTTCGGATGTGTTTGGAAACAAGGACGTTGGCTAAATGAATCTTCGCAACTTGTTATCGCTATTCTTTCGGTCTCGTGGTTTGGGCTGGTATTGCGGTCAGCCTGTCGGAAGGGGAACGGGGAAAAAATGTAAACTGATATCGGATGTCCAAGTCCGAGCGACGGTCGAAAGGACCGTGGACGATCGCAAATCTTGAAGATACCGTGTCACGGCGACGGGCGCGGGCGAAGTCATGACAATATCGCGTTAAGGTTTCCGTCGGAACATTAATCATACGTTGCGCGGGTCGTTTCGATGTTTTTCTCGCCCCCGTTCTCGCGGACGTCTTCGCTCACCTCAGCTTCTCACCCCTACTCACAACCCGTGTCATTGACGACCGTCAGTCCTCCTTCCAGGTCCCATCCCCCACCTTGCTTCTGTCCCCATAGTGCGCGTCAACGGGTTTCCCCCGCAAAGATTACCTACGCGCCGAGAATGCGCCCACGCTATTTCGCTAATCGTCACGTCCATCAGGGACGGTTTTTTTTCTTTCTCGCCACTTCTTTTCGTCCTGTCCACCACCCGCACGTGGTGCGTTATCTTCTCCGAAAGGCCCGATTTACATGTGTTACGTCGCGCGTACCGCACTTACGGGCATGGAATATTGTCGTAAGTCCCCCCCACCACTCGACCGTGTGACGTTTTCAAAATAATGGAACGTGGCGAAAAAAAATATTTAGCAAAATGCGGAAACGGTCGCTTTTTCGGTTCGCTATGAATCAATAGGCGATCGTGAAATGTCCTCGGCGTGGTACCGTCACGAAATTTGAAAATACACTCTAAATTTGCGTCCGAAACGTATAAATCATATTGACTGCACGTAATTTGCAATCAAATGGCACTAGAACTAGTATAGATTGAATCGATAATAACTGTTATATGAACTCAATTCTCGTAAAAACGGTTTTGTGATCGGTATTATTGTTCACCGGGCACGTAACAGATTTGAATAATTTTACGTTTTCCATGTCGTCTAAATTTAAGACTAGCTTGTTGGAATTGGTGTTCAATTCAAAAATTATTTTTGAATTCCCTTTAACCCATGATTTTTGTTTTGGTGTGGTTTCCCAAAAAATATATTTGACTATTTATAATGCATACAACTACCGGCAAATGTTGTACCAAAAATTTTTTCATTTACCTTTTTAAAAAAATATTAAAACTCAATATAAAAATTAAAAGAAACACTATATCAAAATAATTCAAGCTACATGTTTTTTTTTTCATACCTTAAGTTATGGTACATAAGAAAAAAAACTGTTTCGATTTATTGTTGAATACTCTAAAATTATAAGCATACAATAATTAAAGCTTACACTGTTTCATTCTGTACAAATCTTACGGTCTAAACGAGTGATCAACTAATGCAAGATGAGAAACCCTAGGTTGTTTTTTATAATTGAATTTCATTGTTTATAATAATAATTTCATCTACTGAAATTCACAGTTTTATCCATTTTATGTATTGTAAGTGATGCTTAGAAATCACACATGAGGTAATAATTGCTAAAATTGTTTGTGATTTTCCGGCGTCGCGTCGGTGCCATATGATGCGGTAGTATGACCGGATGGCGCTCCATTGCGCTATTTTGTCGGGTAAAATATTACGTCCATTTAACACACACATATATATGTATACATGATATACAAAGCATATTACGTATTATAATGCACTAGAGGATTATAACAACGAGCGTATACATTATATAATATTCTCTCTCTCTCTCTCTCTCTCTTTTTCTCTACTATAGCTCTACTATAAGTCTCTTTCGGTTCGTAATCACCCACGTGTATCCCTCACATGCAACCCTTTATAGTCTACACCCCTTTACACCCTCCTACAATTACGTATACACACACAAATAATAACTAATAAACTCTTACTACTATTACTACTACTACTACTACTACTACTACTACTACTACTTCTGGCTGGAAACAGAATTTCGAGCGTTGAAGTGTATATATGACGGTCGGGTGCATTCCATTATCACGCAGTGTCTGTATATGGATGAATATATGTATTATGTACGCGCCGATACAACAACGCGTATGTCTCCGTGTATCTCAGCAACAGTAGCCGGTATTGGTGAAGAGACTAGATTATATAATTCTATATCGTCACATGCCAATTTTCCAGTTGTTGGCCGTCTCGATTTTTTTCCCAGGCGATTTTCGAAATCCACTGCCCCGTTTTCTATAAATCCAATACCGTTCCCGCATACGTCGATCATCATGGCGTATTGTTTCCCGACGAAAGCTTGAGCTTGTAGTCGATTTTATTGGCCGGATACAACGAAACTTCTTTTCCCGATGAATAAACCCTTTTATTGTCACGCGTCATTTAATGCTTATGGTTATCATTTGCAACATTTATGAGCACAATATATTTGGTTTTTATACACGATGTTATAGTCTCAACAATGCGAACTTAAAACCATTTCTTGTTTGTATGTGATTTTTCTTTTCAGTTGGTTTACAAGAAGTTGTGCATTATTATTATACAATACAATGTTAATACTTCCGTCAAGTTTTCTTTTATTTTGCAATATTTCGAAGCGCACAGCGAGATTCTTTAAATTGTAAACCTATTAAATGTATTCAGTATAAATCACGTTAGATAACTTAAAATTCTGTTGAACACTTTATACGTAGAAACCCGAGTTATCCCATCAATATAAATCAAAATAAACACAACTGCTGAAAACTTTAAAGTGTTTAATAAGGCGATATACCGTTTGAAACATAAATAAAATGCGAATGAAAATAATTTCAAAGTCAATTAATAAGTTTTGTTATTAAAGTTCGACAGAAAATTAGTATTCAAAAATTTTATGTAACTTTTATCCAACGCAATCATACAAAGAGCTAATAAATGTATATTATACACAAGGCTATATTTAATTTTAAATTCTTACCGTCGGATCATTCAATCGTTCGGTGTAATTTTTAGATACAATTTACGAACGTTATTTTATATTATATATATAATATTTATTATAGTATTATATTATAGTATTATTTATTATAGTTATATTTTTACACCATATTTAATTGCGGGGAAAATATCTATTACATACCATAATATTAGTTACAGACACGGAAAATATGGCCCATATATCATTCGTCACGTTGAATATAGTTTTAGCATATAAATATTTAAAAATAATTACAATTTTATCCTAACAGAATGGAATTTATTAATGTTATTGCAGAATGTAATCATACGTTTTATATTTATATTATTTTTTAAAATACTGATTATAGAGTAGGGTTTGAGTTGTTTTATTGTATTGTTGACATTTTTTTATCAGTAAATTTACCAATATTCTCTAAATTATTTATCTACGTAACTTAATAATAATTTGAGATTCAGCTGTAAACATCAAAAAAACCTACTATGCAAACCACTATAATGTAGGTCCATAATTTTCGAGAACAATAGAAGGAATAAATAATTGATATTTACTTATTGAACTATAGTTTCGTACACAGTGTCTAAAATAAAGTGGACTATTTATCATAATATTACAACACCATGACGTCGACGTTGTTCACAATATTCTGTACAATGTTTTCGAAAACTAACCAATATATCTACGTTTCGGTTTTCTGAAATCATATGCTGTACCGGTAGACGTATTTTAAATAACAAAAAGGATGTTCGAAATTTTTCCGTTCAACTTGAAAACCACACTCGCTGCGTATAATAAGATTAACATTAACTACCGGGTAAACATGCAACACGATGTAAAATTGGATATTTTCCACCCGTTATATATATATATGGTTAACATCACGTTATTTTAACGAAGATTATATATTGTATTTTATTTCTTTCATGATAAGTGAACTTGCCATGAGCTGAACACGTCAAAATTATCCAATCATAATTCCAACTGATACGATCAAACCACATGGTGTGTCGTTGAACAAAACCGTACGTGTGAAAAATTATGAGCATAAAAGGAAAACGGCTCTTGGTTTTGGCATAACACATTTTCGTGCGAATATTTTACTTTACGTGTGAGTATCGCTGATTACATTATACTAAAAAGAGCACTCGTGTAAACGCGAGAATTACGTTTATTTTTTTTGTTTTCAGGTTTCATTTCACTCAACAAAAACAATCCAAAATCGAAAATGGGCGCTGAAAAGGTATCCATGAATATCGTTGTCGTTGGACAAGTACAATCTACTAAGGCCATCAACACCACCGTCAAAGTCATCGCAGCCACCAGCCAATTAATGGTGAGTAAATATTATTTTAATAAAAAAAAAAAAAAATTTATTCAAGTATCATTGTTTTTTCGATAACTTTTTAAAATAAAAACTTACATTTTTGCATGCAAATTTTTGCGGGCTTTTAATTTTGGTTATGTTAATGATCGGTGCATTATAAAAGTAATTAGTGATTTTAAAACGGAAAAGTTACTAATTTTATAGGCATAATTGTAATTATTTTATAAAATCAACAGATTGTATGACGTACAATAATATTTATAGTATACGTTGCAATTGTTTAAAAGAAACTTGATATAGTTTTTCAGATAATTTTATGCAATTTATGAAATTAATAAATCTGTATTCCATTAATATTAATAATAATAATGATAATATCTTATTAATGAACATTTTAAGTTCATAAAATTTAAATATTTATCTAATAATTATTTTTAATGTATATAATTTATATTACATGTAGTTTTTATTTTGTTTCAGAACTATTGACCATGTAATCCATTGAAAATTTAAATATTCCATAGTCCAAACAATGTATATTTTACTATTTGTAATTAATATGTATTGATAAAAATAATAAACAAACACGTCTGGTTATAGTATTATTTTATTTATTACTTCATTCTTATCTTTGCTTTTACGCCGATTACGAATCGTTATATAATAAAAAACACTAATTTATTATGGCAGTCAGGTGAGCCGAGATCAGTCATAAAATTAATATGTTTGAGATCTGACTTAATTTTATAATTTATATCTATATAATTAATATTGGGTAGGCTGAAAAAAAATAATCCATAGTGTTACATTTTTTTTTAAATATATTATAAGAGAAATGGTTTTGAACGAAAATAATTATTATTCTTAGAAATGTTTTTTCAACTAAAACAACCGTTATCGAAGTATTATGAGACTGGCGAACCTTAATTATTTTGAACTATATTATTCGGGTTTGACCAAATTTGCTATTTGAGTTAATACTTTTATTAATATTGTAGTTATTGAAAATATTGAATCAGTTAAATATGTTTTAAAATAAATTGAATAATAAACAAGATCATAAGATATGAAATTTATATCTTGAATAGATCACTCAATTTTTTAACACATATAGTAATAGTAATATTAGGTTATTACTATTACATTACTAGTATATTATCACCAAAATTGTGTAATATTAAAAATACAATTAAAACTATAATTAAAATTGTCATTATTAATTATGTAAATATATTAGTAACTATATTATTTTTTATTATTATTACTATTAAAAGAGAAGTAAAAAAATTGTTAATACGAAGAAAAATGTCTAAAAAAAAATAAAGAAGATATTCGGTCCTAGGCGTCAGAAATTGCCGGTGCAGAAAATTAAAAATATTTTATATTATCTGAATAAACGGAAAAACTGTCAGAAATGAAAGTTTTTTTCGGTCCATTGAATTTCTGTTTTTGACAGTAATCATTGAAATAATAAAATAATAATAATAAAAAACGTAATAATAATAAGGTTTTCACTAACGATCGTTTTTTATATTGTATAACTTTTAAAATAATATTGAAAACCAATATTTAAAAACCAACAGTTAAAAAAATAGTATCAACCATTTGATTTTTAGCTCATGATTTGAATTTTCAATAAAAACAGAAGCAGGAGAGAAACTGCAATCTGAAATAAACGATTCCACGACCGTTTTCAAATCAACCATAACCAAAATAACCTACCGATAAAAAAAAAAAAAAAAACTATACACGCACTTCATATACTTGGCAACCCCCACGGTCAGTTAAAAAGGAATTGGTTTCGTAACTTATTACATACATAAACATGATGTATAAATATTTTTCTTCTTTAAAAAAATAATGTTTCATTTTAATGGGTGACTTTAAAACCACTCACGCCTGTAGCATTATCTCTTGCAGAAATACTGAACAACTTAATGTGCCATTAATACGCAGATCGCGGGAATATCATAAAAATAAAATAATAGTTACATCCTTATATTTTGTCTAAAAACCACGTTGAAGAATATTTAACTGATCGCTTTCTTATCCATACTGCTATATTAATATTTATGTTTATGTTCATTTTAAAGCTTTAGAAAAAGTAAAGGCATACCTTAATAAATTAGTTTTTTTATTATTCTCGAGTTTATTGTAAATTTAAAAATATCACATAGGTTTTAAATAATTTTAATGAAAGAACAGTTCATGTAAAAACGTACAATTAATATACTATTGTTTAAGATGTACAATATAATTTTAAGATAAATTCCATAAACTCTATTATTCAATAGAAAAAAAAGTTGTACACTGGAATAAATAGGATCTTTTTGAATAACTGAATGGATACTATCTATTTAATTTTATTTGAAAAAATATTTTCAAACAAGTTCAGTGCATTCATAGATTATATACTCGTATATATATTATGTATATTTAATCTATGGTTCATTTTAATTGAAACGAATGTTCAAATATGGAATATATATTAAAAAAATTACTATATTTATCAGGATATTTGAATTATTTTTAATACAAAGGCTTAATTGAAATATAATAGTAAAAATTTTTTTTACATTAAGACTTTCAATACATTAAAGTATTATTTATATTATTAGATTTTACACAAAATAAATATAGATGAAGACTGATATTGTTTGAAAAAACTTAGTATTTTTTTTTTTTTTTTTTACTTTTGTCGTTAAATTAAATAATAAGCATGTAAATATTTCTTGGGAAATATTACTATACAATTAAATTATTAATAATTGGGGATATCATGAAAAGAAGCAGTAAATAAAATTATTAAAATTTCAATCGTTTCAAACGTTTTTTGATAAATAGGTAGTATTAAGCAACGGGTTGTACAACTGTGCCGTACTGAGATAACCGGAACGAAATGAGTGTTCAATATAGAAATCATTGGCGCAACATATTTTACTATCAAAGGCGTTGGAAAAAAAAAAACTTAAAATATGGCGTGATGATCATATTCCGATACGACGATATGGCGTGTGATGCAATATGTAATATTCGGTAACCTTGACAGATAATATATTGGTTTATGTGTAAGACTGTTTATTGATTTATTTATTTTAGGTATATACTTAGACATTGTTTTTCGCGTAAAAATCGGGCCAATTAATGTATTAATATCGACATATATTTTATATATTTAAGTTGAATATTTTTGATATTTTTACACTGTTTTCACGATAGATTAATAAAAACAAAATTGACTGAATTTAATTAATTTTTCATCAACACAAACTTGATTATAATTGATAGGTGTATTGATGATTTTATGAATGTTCTACTATTGTTCATAATTTTCATCCTTTTGATGTCAAAACGCCATAGAATTGTATAATTATTTGAGATTATTTAATATTTCTGAAATACACTGAAAACTTCTAAAATTTATTTATGACATATTTTCATCTTATCAATAGATTTTATTTATTGTTTGAAAAACAACATCATTATTTCTGCAGGTTTCACAAATTGATGTATATAATCGATGTTTAAAAAATTTTTCTCAGAAATGACGTTTAAACCATATACTTAATATCGATACATTTTGCTCTCGGAAGTGAATATTAGTATTTGATTATTGTTTTAAAAAATGCATTAGGACTTTGATTTTTCATCAATCACCAGATTTGAGTCTTAACGGTACTATATGTTGTATAATAAATGAAAATCTATGCGATTTAAACAACGGGAAAAACTGGTTTATTTTGTAGTGTTAGTATTTTATATGAATTACGTATAACGTTGTTAACGGCACAATTAAGTAACACGTTGATGAGCTCAGTAATTCGAAACAAGTTCTAATATGAATAACTATATTTCAATTAATTAAACTACAACACAATAATGATGACAATAATCTAATGCAATTTACAGACCTAGTTTTATACTATTATTAAAATTATTACTATCCATATTACAATGAAATAATGGAATCAATGGATTTAATTTAATTGAAAATTTAAATTAATTTACTTTATTGTACATCATGTATGTATAATAGCCATTAAAGGTATACAAAATTATTTAGTTTGAAATTCCGAATTGTTTTTTTTTTTAATCGAATATAATAAATCGTATCCAAAAAAGTGTTGAAATAAAAAGATATCCGTTTTACAGAATGTCGAACAAAATAAAATTATCTACCATACTTATAACAGACAACAGACATTTGCATGAATAAAATGTTTACTACTAGTTCGTATTCATTTTAATACGTTTTGCGATAGCTAGATTATAAAAGTCGAGTGTCATCGTAGCGTGATTGCGTGATTAAATTAACAAATCGGGTTATGCAGTAGATTGAACTTAAGGGTGTACGCGGGTACGTGCGATATTAGGATTATAAATCATTTTATAATTTTCTAATTGATCCGAATTCAAATGAGATTAATTAACGGACATCACATCACTGAATGTTTAATACTATTAAAAAAAAAAAAAAAACAGTTTGATTAATTAACACGATGTGTGTACACACAGTGTGTATAACCACTGTAACCCATCAATAAGATAATCAATATTACGAGTATAAATTAATATTCAGAGTTAACATTTTAGTTGAATATTTATAACACTTGGTAATTTATTTCTATAAATTATTTTTGAAAATAAAATATTTTTACGGGTAGTAAACATTGTTGTACACGTAAAACTATTATTTTGTATTATAAGTGATATTTACTGGAGTAATAAAAAATAAATCTGAAGTCAATCAATCTAAGACTCTTGACATTATATTATATTTTGAAAAATTAAAGAAAATCGATTTTTAGAAATCAAATATTAAACGCAATTAAAAATAATTTGTTGAAAAATTTATCGTTCATCCAAATTCACAAAAAAACTAAGTTATTAAGTGTTTGTTTTTTGCTTTGTTCGGTTTGTATTTCTGAGTTAGATCTGAACATTTTCTTTTGAACATAGTAATAAGAAAATATTATAATCAAATATTAAACTAGTAAATAAGTAGAAATACAGCAATAATTTATTAACATAACATTTCGTGAAATAAGAATCATAACATATATAAAATAAAACTTCATGAGTATACTTATTAAGAATCGTGTACACAATTATGGTCGAAACTTTGAACTTAGAAAAATAAATTTCTACCAAAGAATACTACACCTAATTATGATTGTAAATTGTTCTTCGTTAAATTCATATACAAAATACATTTTACAAAAATGTCATGATGTAATAATGATGACTCAGCAAGAATAAACTTTGGAAATGTACTTTCTATAATATTGAAAGTACCTACATAGAAAGTAAATAATATACATTGTATTCGAGAAACATTGGATTTAATGGAATCTTAAAATATTTGTACGACTTCTGGAAGAAAATATCCAACGGTTTCCTAGAAATTTAAAGTGAATCATATTTAATGCTGAAGAAAAGTAGATTTGTTTTTGTTTGTTATACCGTTATTTTTGAATATAATACATACATTGATAAATACGTGACTGGAATAATAAATCTTGCCAAAAAACCTATTGTAAATATCGGCAACTATTGTTATTTGATCGTGATAAGTGATGTATGAATGAATAATTTCTGCGTCGTTTCCATCGAGAATTAGTTTAAAATGTTCACGTTGCACGAAATACTCATTTATCGCCGTCCGAAGATTATCGACCTGCCAATAGCCGAGAAGAAATCCGTATCGCGCCACATCAGACCATTAATTGGTGCGCGTGTAGAGTGGGTATATAAAGGCGCTCGTGATCACTATTCCGGCATAACACATTTTTGTGCGATTTTATTCATTGGTGAGTACGAAATAGTAATACAATGCTTATGTATATAGTGATTTATATTATAACTCATATTTTATTTTTTCCATATCTATCGTAGTCTTCACTTCACTCCAAAAAAACCAAACCAAAAATCAAAAATGGGCGCTGAAAAGGTATCCATGAACATCGTTGTCGTCGGACAAGTCCAATATGCTAAGGCCATCAAAACCGTCGTCAAGGTAGCTCCAACCACCAGCCAATTGATGGTGAGTGCATGTTATTAAATTCGTTCAGTCCGTTTTATTTTGTGGTAATATTAACATTATTTCTCATCGATTTCTCTGAACCGATGTAATCTAAATATTTTATAAATATTATTACAATATGAGTCGTCAACTCATTAATCATTTATACAAATGTTGACGTTGATTATTTCATTTTTGTAGTATTATTCCGTAATATCAATGAGAAACCTATAATATTATAAGATATATTATTATTAAATTTCAATAATTTTGATATTTATTCTACAAATTTCATTGTTTATTTAAATATTTCCATTTACAATGAATAGAAAAAATATATCTTATACAAAACATCGGCCGTTTTTTATTAAACATGAAAATAAATCATATTCATAAGAACAAATATTTTATAAAAATAATAACAAAATACTATTAAATATATAAGAAATGTATATCATATTTTTAATAACATCAATAAGATATATTAATATCAATATTTTTCTTAGCTTGTGAAATATAGAGAATATGTGTTTAAATAAATATCTTTACCTTTTTATTTTTTTACGTAATGGTTTATCAATTATTATTTTGTTTTGTTGCAGAAGTGTTAAGTTATGTGATCCATCAATAACAAACCTAAAAATGCCATAGCCCAAACAACATATATTATATTTATAACGTATGTTGACATTGCAAAATAAAACAGTCTTCTCCGTAATTTATTTTGTTTTGTTTTTTATCTATAAAAATGCCCTTTCTATGTTTATACCATTATAGAGTCATCGACTAACAATGAACAGTCGGAATAGATTAAAAATAATAATATTACAAACATACTTATATGCACATTAATATATTTATCATATGGTCATCAAAGTTACATTATCGGTTATAATACTGATTATAGGAAAAACTAAATTAAAAAAGGTTTAATTTTAACTATATAACTATAATATATGTGTGTGTCGTATTGTAGGTTGAAATTGTTTTTGTTTTCTTCAAAATATTGACTTGTCCGTTTCTATTTTTACTGTAAGTATTTAAATGAAATAAGTCAACATAATTGTTACTTCAATATAATTGTGTTATTCACTATCGTGGAAATTACCGTACAAATTGAAATAAGTGAAAATAATGTAATTCGTGATTAAACAAAACGATAATAAGTCGACGAGTGAACAGCAGCAACGTGTTTATAGGACAGGTTGAATAGGCTCGGGTTTGTCTGATTTTTATTTTATCGATTGTAGGTTTTCGAACGTTTATTTATTAAAATACATCAACTACGGGTAAGGGTATATTTGGTAGGTAGTGAAGTATTCAAGACTCTGAAATTATGAAAGTATTCAATCATGGAAAACGTGTAAAGTTTGCACTTAAGACCACCATCAGTCGATAAACTCAATAGTTTAGACGTAGCGATAGTTAGTCTTCACTGACGAAAAAACAACGTTAAATGTTCGAGTACTGTTTGTGGTTAACCTCGCTAAAGTTGTACGTCCATAAATTACACGAACAGGGAACAAGTTCACTTTTCTAATTTTAGAGGTAAAAAATTAAGAACGAAGTTTTTCCTTCTTGCGTTAAAAAATATTTTCCACGTACCATTGTTTGATGTCTATACTATTTGGATGCATCTCATTAATATAGTAAACCACGTATTAATGTGTAATTCGTACAAACTGATAAAAATGGATTTGTACCGGATTATCTGCAGTTAGTGATCCACTTGTGTATAGTACGTACTCAGCGGGTGGTATAGATAAGGTATACACATTTTATACGGGTCTAGATGATATTGTTAAAAATGCCACTGCGGCCGCCACGGCACGATCTTGATCTCAACAGTTATAATAAAAATAATAATAATAATAATAATAATGTCGTAATCATAATCCAACGCTTTCGAATCGTCCGCATTTTGCAAAGGCTTAATGCATTTATTTATATATATATATATATATATATATATATATATTTAAATGTGTAATGATTTATAGTAATAAATTGTTGTCGACGAGTTTTAATTTAAGCTTCCAAGCGAACATAACGTCTCTGCGTTCATCCTTTGCGTTTGTACAATACGATACGGATCGTGTTGAGATGTACTTTTTAATAAACGCTATTCCGCCGCATCTTGTTTAATCGTGGGCACCTAATATTACAATCGAAATTGTTCGTCATCTTTTATCGCGATTTCAGGTGGTTTTTTTTTTTTTTTTTTTGTTCGGTCGACGAACTCGTACCGAATTCGTTTGCGCGGAAATCGAGCATCATAATATGCTTCCGTTAACGGCACTTCTATATTTAAGACGGTCGGCAGTCGTTTTTCGTAACTTATCAAGACATTGTTGTATTTTAACAACGCCATCGGTGCAAAAGTGTAATAAATTCCAATTTATTTCGTCGTGTTGTAAATAAGTTCGTGTTTAGAAAATAAAATGATTTTATTACCTGACAAAAACATCGGAATCATCACATTAAAATGAATACAAAAATAAAAAGAGAACAAAACCGATAAATTGTGCAATATAAAAGCCAATAACCATTTATACGCATATAAAATAAAAACATAATTATTATACACACGCGGTTTTATTGCACTATATATTATCATGGTTCGTGACACATATAAGTAATGATGGTGTGATAAAATGTTTCTAGTCAAAATTGTATTCTTATTAAAAGTAAACGTTATTTATTTTTCATATTACAACAGTAGTAGATCGTGCAATAATCTAAGACGGGTAGATATTATCATTATATTATCATATTAGTTTCCGTATTATAGAAATGATGAACTTTAGAAAATGGCTCAAAATCCGCATTAACCCATGTACTTATTAGAAACAAAACACTCAACTTGATATCAACGGGAAAATCTTTGCCTATAATATTTCACTATGATGTCGACATAATGACGTATTTGCATAATATTACATCAATGGTGTATTGTTTGATTAATAAAGTAGGATATATTTTATGGCTCGTACAATATTAACGTTCAAATTGAAGTTAATAAGTAAAGTTCGACAAATATACAGTTCTTGTCATTATGTTAATCTAAAAATTATTATTTTTTATTTAACGTACATGATTTAAAAATATAATTTAAATTAAATATTGTCTGATAAATTGTCTCTTGTTGAGCAAAAAAAAAAAAAATTTTCATCGAAACAACTCGTTAAAGTAATATTGCCGTTATACAATCGACAAATAATACCATAACGTTATTGGTGTAAGAGTGTATCAACTACGTAGGCAGTATATATGATACTCTATACTATATTATTTATTAGTTGATTCTGTGAATATAAACATGCTTAATAATAAATATAAAATTTTTAAACTTTATTTATGACGGCCTTTTTTCCACAAAAGTTTTATTCGTTTGAATTAAATATATATAGATAGAAAGTAATAAAACACGTTAAATATCGGAAAAGGTTTATTTATTTGCAATGTCAATACAAAATGTGTTAATTACGTTTCGCATTGTATGAGGCTATGGCATTTTTGAGTTTTGCGATGAACGAACTTCATGAATTAACAGTTCTGAAACAAAAACATAACAAATAAAAGTCAATAAACATTATTATGTCAAAACATTTACTTTTTTTACGCTTAATCATATACGCCATAAACTATTATACTGGTTTTAAAAGGAATAATAATTACATTTAAAATTAATTTGTAAATCAGATTAATGATCGAAAAATACAATAATTTTTACTGGATTGTTAAATAGTAAAAGTTATAGTCCCATATTGTCAATATAACGGGTCACAAGTAATAAATCAAATATAATCACTATAAATTTTATTTTTTCCATATGTAATTTAGTTATTTCTATGCTCGTAGCATGTTTATTTAAAAAACAAAATAAGAATATAATAAGAATTATTTGGAAAAAAGAGTCAGTTTTGTAGACTGAAAAATTTTTATTGGTGTAAAATGTAACTACGTGATTTAGTTAACAAAAGAAACGATAATAAAATGAAGCGAAATGAAAGTGAAAAACCCGCAAATAATTTGATTGTTGAACCGAAAAGTTATTTTGACATTTTGAAAAAAATAAAAAAAAGTATAATAATAATAATAATAACGAAAAAGAAACTTCTGTGAATTATATAATAATATTTATCTAACACATCGAATATTGAAAAAAATCGATTTAAATGTATGTGCTTACCATCAATTGGCTGGAGGCTGGGGTTGTGGCTTTGGCGGCATTTTTGACAGCCTTGGCAGATTGGACTTGTCCGATGACAACGATGTTCATGGATACTTTTTCTGCTCCCATTTTTGATTTTTCGCTGATTTTCTTTTTGTTGGAATAATGTGATGGCTGCAAGAAATAAATAATACTGTCAATACCTGCAGCGCTGAATGGTTAAAATTAAAAAAACGACCACTCAATTCTCACTCACCAGAGTACAGATTTGCACGATTAATTTGTTATGCCGGACTAGAGAAACCGTACGCTTTTTTATACAATCCAGACGGCCGTAAGACGATGGGATGATATGGCGTGATCGTGATAATAACACCTCATCGCATCAGCGTTTTGTTCATTAGCGAACAATAATTTGCCGATTTTTTTAGTGCATTACATAATTATGATCCTCCTATCCGTTCCAAAGACCATGATTCGTTTGTTTATTTTAACTTTTTATCTCGAGTTTACCGATATACTATTGCTATTGAGCGGTATAGTTAATATTTTAATTTTGAATACCAATAAGTATAACAATTCTTATTAAAAATGAACATTTCCGTATTATTTTTTAAACGTTATATTATTGCTTGAATTTAATAATATAGTAATATTATTCGTTGTACCATGGGAAATAAATTTTTTTTCATTAGAATCCAAACATTTATTTTGGTTCATCTTTTTATGTTAGTTTTTTATTGCAATTTATTTTATATTGCGTGCGTGTGTCCAACGTTTTAGCGGATTAGCAATAATTAATTTTCAATACAGTACAAGCCCAGTATATAAAATGAGAAATTTGAAGTACACGAACATTTTTGCACAGATAAAACCATAGGAAATAGGAAAAATTTAGTGAAATAACTGTAAAATAAATTATTTTCCTCGTGTGGACGAGTACATTATATAATATTATACCTTTATCACCTACTAGATTTAAAATATCACTGATTTTTCAATCAGTAGATCTATATTTTCATATATTCATTTATTTTCACACCGTATTTTATTTGTGTTTCATTTTTTTGTTTTTTATATCCGTAGCTTGTTTTAAAAGAGGGCATCGTAATTTGAATTTCAAATCGATGAATGACACATTACGCAGTTAACAACTTTCAAACAAAATTCGTTTTAAATGAAATTCGTTATGGTCTTTTGTCCGATAACATGAACGAATTATGGTTAAATAATAGATACACCTTTTCCCACCTTAACCAAAAAATAGTGACGGCTGCAACCTTTTAACGTTAATAAATGACCGCGTCTGTTGTGCGTATGTACGAGTTTTAGATGAAATATTTGTTGTCGGTTTTTTGTTTCAAGGAATTTTTACTCATTTTGAAGGATTTTAGTACTGACCAACTCTTAGGTGAAAAAAACACAACTAACTATCTATCCCGGGAAATGCGCAATACTCAATTAAATAATAATCAATATTTTTCGTTACATCGTGTAATACACATTGGTTGTTTTTCAAAGTTTGGAATACTTTTTTTTAAGAAAATAATATTTTTAACCAACAGAGTATATAATTTTATACAACTTTAAACATGAAACGTGGAAATCTGAAAAAAATCTTGAAAAATTGTATGCGTTTTTGGTTCATTGAAATAATAGTATAATAATACGCTTTGTGTTGTGTACATTTTCATTTTGTATTTGAACACTAAAATTGACTTATATCCATTAGGTGTATCCATTAAAATATTATATTATGTACATGACTGTTGCATTTTTTAAACAGATCAAGTTTTGTATAACGACAGTATGAAATGAATAACAATTTACAAAATATGTATTAAAAATGTGTATTACACTTTGCCAGTATTAATGTTAAGGAAAAGAAACTTAAAAAACTAAGTTTTATTTTTATTAACATTAAAATTTTTTCGCAATAAATTCATATTAAATAAAATGTAGAGTACATTTTTTTGAGAAAATTCGTTCTTATATATTTATTAAAAAATTAGGATTGTTAATTTTCAACGTCATGGAATATTATTTTATTATCTGAGATAAAAATAATGAAAAATTCTAGTAAAATTGAAATATATATGTATATAATGTAAATTTATTTATTTATTTTCTTATACAATTAAATAAATGTATAAATAAATAGATAAATATATTATACATAGATATACATAAATAAATTATTTGTCTGGAGAATTATTATATTAGTAAAGTATGACTAGTTACTATTTACTTATTTAGTTAATAATTAAAATTCTTCTTCAGGTATAAATAAAGATGATAAAATAAAGCCATGGATTTATTAAATTAGTATGTTATATACCTGACGATGAATTTTCATTAAAAGCAGGTCGTACTTTACAAATATAATATTATTTCAAATTAAGTATTAATTTATTTCTATAGATAAACTTTGTTTATTTATTTATGCATACATTTGCAAGTATTAACTATTTACTAATTTTTTATAGTAATCAAATTGTTAATTAATTATTAAAATTAAATAAATAAAAATTAAATATAAATATATAATATATATATATATATATATATTATATTAATTAAATATTAATCATTAAAATGTATTTATTTGTATATTTATATTGAAATATTTATATGTACATAACTAATTTTAAAAAAATTATACTCATTTTATATGAAATATATTAATATTTTTTCTGTTAAACTTATATGATTTAAAGTGACGATGTTATATCATCATAATTGTCCAACCCACCCGCATACCTAATAAAGCAACTTGCCGAGACCAGAATGCAGCTACTTTTGGGTTGAATAATGAACGAATAATTTTAAAGTCGATAAAAAAAAGAAAAACCTATTTGAAACGATAACTGATCGTGTTATTAATAACAAATAAACATTGATCACCTTCCGATGATTAACCAGCCAATAGCGAAGCGAGCAGTATTTACTAAAAGATCACGCCACATCGACCCACATTTATTGGCCAGAGTATATAAAGTCGTCTGCGATTCCTACTCCGGCATAACACACATTTGCGTGATTTTATTCATCGGTGAGTGCACGAAACAATTTATTTATTATTTACTTTTGTACGATTTTATATGTAAAAATTTGTTTTTATGTTTCTACTTGCAGTCTTCACTTCTTCACTCAACCAAAACCAACCGAAATCAAAAATGGGCGCCGAAAAAGTATCCATGAACATCGTTGTCATCGGACAAGTCCAATCTGCCAAGGCCGTCAACACCGTTGCCAAGGCTACTCCAGCCACCAACCAATTGATAGTAAGTACTGGAATCTGTTAATGTGAATATGATTACATAGAATTGGTGGTGGGTTATATATTATTGATTTATATTAATAAATAATTTATTCAGAGAAATTTGAAATTTTTATTTTATTATTTCCATTATCTTAAATTATTTTTTCAGTCAAAGTTAGTTATAAAGTTAGTCAAAAGCTTTACTAAATGATTTTAATAAAACTTTTACCAACATGTTTTACTGTTTAATTGTTGAGCTTTAAAATTTAAATTAAAAATTTTTTTCGATGAAAAATATGTGTTCTAAACCGTGATATGTGATTGTAAACAATTTTTGCTAATAATTGGTACTGAAAAAGTTAAACAATTATTTGATTATTTAAGTAATTACACATTATTTTAACTAACACACCGCATCAAGTAATGGCCTTAAAATTTATATTGGAAATCGCATCAGAATATCAAAGTGACTGAAATAAAATCTAATGAAATAAAATTAATTTAACATCACACTTTAAATTGTGTACACATTATTTTACATTATCAATTTTTATCACAAAATGAAAATTAACCATAAATATGAGCCAGTAGTGTATAAATATTATAATACATTCATTGTGATTTGATTTTTTTCTTGCACTTGCGTAATACAACGACGAGTGTAATATAAATTTTACATATGATAGTATTATGCTAATTTTTCTTTTATATGCTACTATAACCAAACATTAATTTGTTTTGTTTCAGAAATGGTAATTTATGTAGTCCATCAATTGCAAACTCAATAATGCCATAGCCCAAACAATACATGTAAATAATATGTGTTGACATTGCAAAATAAACCAATCTTTTAAACCGTTATTTATATTGTTTTTAATTTATGAAACTATTTGAATGGTACACTATATCTTTTATTCGTTATTGCTATAATTTGTGATATCGAGATCCATGGTTATCAATCAACCGTTTAAAGTTAGATGAAAAAATTAATATTTATTTATTATATTATGTGTAAATATTATGTATATGCTAACATACTGTTGCATCATGATATATTGATTTTTCTTTTTAAACAATTTTACTGAGATCAAATTATACAATTATGAGTTTTTCACATGTCACTACGCAATAACAGTAATTAAAGCTGTACAAAACAAGCATTATTCAATCTAAATCACAATTCCCTTATATAATATTGAGCCATATTAAAAAGCTAACCTATTCAATATTTATATACTTTTATTGTTTTTCATCGTCTACACATTTTTTTTAAGATAACACAGGAGAAGAATATTTGTTCGATCGGTTCATATTTAGCTGTTCGATAAATCATATCCTGTCAAAAACTAAACTTAGAAAACTGACAAAATAAATAGCTCGCATTCTGTAAATTATATAATCCGTCTGTAGCGGTGAGATGTTGACTGTAAATATTCGGTAATCTTATTTTACAGTAGATTTGGTATAAAAATGTATTCGGACTCACAGTACGATTAGAAATTGAATTCAAATGCTGACTCGTTGAATTGGGCTACGCCAATATAACTGGCCCGCCAGTACATCCGAACGGTGGAAAAAGTCAACGTTGCACGGTGTAAAAGTGTTGATTTGTTAGCGGAAAACGTGTATATATTTACTTAGGTGTGAATCGGACACAATTCAATTTAAATTACGAATAACTGTTTCGTGAAAGGTAATGATAAAATAGGTGGTATAACAGTGTCTTACCAACGCGTAATACACATACCAACTGACGCTTTCATTGTACACGACGCGCGTGATTATATGTTAACAGTCCGCGATCACGGTACCTTTCCTTACCTATATTTTATACTTATCGATTTGTACATTGAATCATTGAGTCATCATAGTTGCACGTGCCGTCAGCCGATAACATTTGCAAAATTCAGACGATTACGGTAGGAAAAAGTAATCGAATGCGAAGTACAAATACGTTATACATTTATCTACTAACAACTGCGCGTTGTGTTGTGTAAGGATCGTGTGATATCTAGTGGTGGCTTGAACTTTCGTAACTCAAGAGGTAAGCTCGAGACCACCTATCCACCAGTCGAATTCATTTCACCGACGACGATCGTACATAAGCGCGTGCGTTATCGCGGTTCTGGTACGGGTTTCATACCGTAGAACATGGGTGTTACGAACGTATGTGGTATGTGGGTTTAACGAAAGTAACTATAACGGAAATCGAGTTACGTCAGGACTCTTTAGCCGTGGCGTAATAGTGTCGGGATTGTACGCGGAGCGTGTGATATGCACTCGTGGCTGACACCGTATTTTGAAAAATTCCAAAGCTTTTAGTTCCTTCTACCGGTCCGTCGTCGCGGAAATACATCGATTGTTTTTTTTTAAAAAACGTTATCCTCCGATGGTTTCAAGTTATTCGAAAAGTTAAAAAAAAAAAAAAAATAATGAATATGAAGTCATAATTAATAATTGTAATAATGATTGGGTTTTTAGATTCTAAACCTACGGTTCACCATTTAAGCTGTAGACAATAACTAAAGGGTAGGTGATTTATCGAGAGACATTTATTTTCTAGTTACGAGTTATATATCTTTCGTACAAAATCGTTAACTCTTATTTAATATGTGTATACAACGATGGATGATATACTAATTAAATGATTCCGGAACAAAAATAAAAGTTTTGACAATTCGCAGAGTATTTGAACTAAAAAGTGATTAGGCGATCATGTTTTGTTTTAATTAAAACGGATTTTGAATTAAAAATCAAGTGTCAACTATTCATATTTTCATTTAAAGTTTTCAAATTATTTTACTTAAAACATAAAAGATACCGTAATTCTTAGAAAAATCAATGTCCCTAAAGAAAGAACAAAACTTTTTTTGTAAGAACTTAAGAGTAATTTTATAAAATATTATTATGAATAGGAATTTCCATTTGAAAATTGACATAGATATGCACGCAATAAATGAATGCGTTTATACACGTATAAGAAAAAAGTTAATAAAATATAAATTGTAAATATATAAATACGGTATGTCCCATAAGTCCCGTGTCATCCTTAATATCTCCATGGAAAATCAATATATTTAAACGTGGTTTTTTTTTTTAGAATACTTAGTATAGAAA